GCACGACGGAGCGTGTCTGAACCAATCACTTTTGTTGGCATTGATCATCCGACTGATTTAAATACATCTTAACATTCATGAGGTACTTTACATTGACTGTTTATGGTTGAATGTGGGCGTGTAGAGGGTAGAACCTGAGGCGGGAGCTTGTGCGCAAACTCTGATGTGCGGCTGTGATTTATAAAGGGAAGATGCGCATAAATGTGTGTACGCACAGTTTTATAAATCTGAACTTTTTTTGGCGTACGCCATTTCCACCTTTTGGCCGTACGTTCACTTTTAGTATGGTTTCCACGCAATCCTTTATAAATGAGACCCCAGGAGCTTCAGGATTTGACGRAGTACTTTAGATGTTTCTAAAACCACGCATTTCTTTGGGCAAAGATTCTTAAAAGAGACACATCCTGCTTTTAATCCTTCTTTTTACCATTTAAATCCTTCAGCTGGGGTCTTTATGAAGTGGAAYTACAATGCTTTGGTCTGAATTCCTCCTTACTGTAACTCCACAAGCTCCGCCCCTTTTTTTGAAGGGTGTCTCAGATCAACTCATTTTGAGGCTGTCTCTTTAAATCCAAATGAGGCACTTCACACAGTTGGTAAGTCCAGACCTTACAGTATTTGGCACTTCTGCAGCAAATAATTTGATATAATAGTTCAGAAAACATCACAGAAAATAGAGAAAGAGTTTGAAAAACATGACCCAAACAGAATATAAAGAAAGCTCTGCAGCGCCAGGAGAAACTAAATTCAAATTTTCTGCACTCCTGCAGACTCCAAGTCCACAACAAAATGTGTTTAACAACTAAAAAAGTAGATTTTGCATATGCCCTCTTTAAATATGGCTGACAGGTAGGGGTGTAATAAAATCTTGTAAGAGAGTTTCAAAAGAAGCCCATGGGAACTTTCCCTGCTGTGTCTGATAGCACACAACAGGTCATGTATCTCCTTTAAATAGACAAAGGTGTACAACTACGGAAAAAAAACAGGAATATATTCATCAGTATCAGTAACAGGAAACACACAGATGCAAAACCTAAGCACTGACCTCACCAGCTGTTGAGACAAACAGTCACTCGGCTGCTGTTTAATATTTTATGAGTCTCAGAAAGATTCAGACATTTTCTTTTGGGGCCAGGAGTGATCACACAATTACACCGCACTATCTGCTTACACAGCACACGACACAAACAGTAACCTTCAGCCATGGAAGGCGACGGATGTGTTTGTTTCACCCCTAATCAGAAGGATAAAAGAAAAAAAAGAGGGAATTTCCAGTTTTCAACACATAAGGAAGGAAAAACAGTGAGGATGTGGTCAGGAGTCAGATTCTGCTGCACAAAGCAGTTTAAAACAAAAACAACAAGAACGAGATTCACACTGCAGACCAGAGGGATGACTTTTCACAACCTTACAGAACAGGAATAAAAAAAAAATCGTGATCTTGCCATTGAATGACTGATTTTTTTTAACTTTTCCTTTCTTTTATATATGGACTATTTTTTTGTCTTGAAATAAAGCATATAATAATGAGTGATTTAAACAGGGCTGGATTATACAGTATGTATACATAAAAAACTGTTGCCACAAAGGACAACTCAGTATTGTAGAGCCCGCGAGGGGACATGGGAGATTTTTTTTCTTTTGCGTTCCCACGCAATAGTATTGTGTTACCTCGCAATACATTTTGCGTTCCCTCGCAAAAGTCGTTAATCACTGTTGTGCCTGCCGTTCTTTTTTTTAACAAACTCACATGTTTACCATTACAGAGTAAGCCTACTGCTTTAATTCAGCTTCAGAATGAATAAAACACACAGCCACACATGGAAGTATGTCATATGCCGGTATTTTAACACATTGCAGCCACGCAACATCAATGTCAATTTCACAAACTTGTGGCGACACATCCCGTTTTGAGAACCGGATATTTCAAAATAAAAGTCTGATTTAATTCAGTTCATATACAAAACAAACTTTTGCATTTTTTTTTGCAAAAAAAAAAACTTTTGCAAAACAATTTTGCGAGGTAACGCAAAAGAAAAAAAATTCCCCCATATACCCTCGCAGGCTCCGTAGTATTGCAAACAAAAACAAGTAAATCATGCATATTCATATTATTACATGAACCGCTGCATCTGATTTAAACAGAATGAATTCCCAGAGACTTTCATTTTCTGCTTTTACCTCTTCTGTAATCTTTACATCCTGGCATCATTATTACACCACTGACATTAGGAAACGTAAAGAAACAGCAAAGCATTTTATCTCATTCCTGTAACAACACTACAGGCTGCTTCTTGTATTCTCTATATGACTCTAAAAACATCATTTCTGGTTTCAGTCAAATGAACATTTAATTGCAGCTAAATAGTTTATTGTATCTACAGGTCTGCAAATTGTGGCTCCGGGGCCACATGCGGCTCTTTATTCACTCTTTGTAGCTTTGAYCCAAACTATTATGGTAATAAACACTAATAGAAATAGAAAATACAGTTTGTGAATAAAAATATCTGTGACATGATAGTAATAATACAAGGAAACACAAAACGTATCAATCGGTTTGTTAACCATTTCTCTAATCCCACATTCCAGCCAAGCATCCATCCATTTTCTGTACACGCTTCTTCCTTTTCAGGGTTGCGTGGGTCACTGGTGCCCATATCCAGCAGTCACAGT